ACAGCCTGAGGCCGTTCCCTCTGCTCCCAGGGAACAAGGGACAGGAGGAGAGGGAACGGCCTCAGGCTGTGCCAAGGGAGGCTCAGGTGGGACATCAGGAGGAATTTCTCATGGAAAGGGTAGTCAAGCACTGGCAGGGGCTGCCCAGGGAGGTTTGGAGTGCCCATCCCTGGAGGTGTCCCAGGAAGGCCTGGCCGTGGCACTCAGTGCTCTGGGCTGGGGGACAAGGGGGGCATCGGGCACAGGGGGGACTTGGTGACCTTGGAGGGCTTTTCCAACCTCAGTGATTCTGGGATTCAACATAAAAATAAATAGATTTTTTTTCTTTGGTACTTACGTTAAATGGCACCCGTGAGCTGCACTGGAAGAAAACCATGGAATAAAATAATGTGGAAGCTGCTGAAGGCCTGGCATGGGCCGGTGTGTGGGCCTGGTAATGACACTGCATGAATAATTTTTCTGAATTATTAGAGTGATGAATATTCTCTCGCAGGGAACAATAGAGGAACTCTTATAGTAGCTATGACAATGTATTTTTAGTATGGACTCATTTTCAAATATGTCAAACTCAGCTTTTTCCTTCTTTTATTTGAAAGGATGGATGGAATATTTCCTGCTGTAACTGCCAAACCGTGGAGTGTGGTTTAGTCTGTGGTGGGGGGTGTGGAATGAGATGATCTTTAAGGCCCTTTCCATCCCAAACCATTCTGTGATTCCATGAAATACTCCCATAAATAAGCAGCTGGGTCTCAAGGTGGTTGCTCCTCCATCCAGCCCTGTTTCAGGGCAGCTGGGGGTGCTTTTCCCTCATGCTCCTTGTAGCCCAAGTCTCACCTTAACTAATAATCCTTAACTAATAACATCTATTTCACTTACAGTCAGGATGACTGAGCTTTTATCCAAACCCTTCTATGTGGGTGTTAAATGTGGCAGAGATGAAACTCTGTCGCTGATGTCCCAGCCAGGGCGTTTTTCTTCTCAGTGGATGTGTTTTGTGCTGTGGTTAAAAGGCTTGGAATGGCTTGTGGGCCTCTGAGCTTCCCTGATGTGTCTGTGTTGGAGGCTGGGGGCTGTGAATCAGGTGGTTCAGGTGAGCTCTCACACTGTCAAAATACCAGGAATTCCCAAAGTTTGTTCCCATTGGGTATGTTTTGCTGCTTCTCCCCCAAAGAGAATCATAAAGCTTGGAAAAGACCTTTAAGATCATCAAGTCCATCTGGCTTCCAGCAGGTTTTCCTGCTCCTTTGCCATGGTTTAGACCAAATTTCCCAGCTCCTTCTCAAATCCTGTGCCGGGTCTGATTCCCACAAGGAGAGCATTGTTTTGTGCTGAGGGCAACAGGGGAGGTCTGACTTGAACCAGGAATTCCCTCCACCCTTTGTGGCTGTTCTTGCAGCCCTTCCACTTGAAAGGCTGATTTATTTTGTCAAGGAGAAAGCTTTATTTTGAGCCTTGGAATGAAGTAAATGCCTGAAATTGAAATGCAAGTTGGTATGACTGATGCCAAGGCCCTTATTATGCTTTGCTTCTTGGGCAGGCAGTTGTGTAACGTTAATAATTAGCATCTTTGTTAGGATTTGGGGGGACCTGTAGGGGTGGCCAAGACCAAAAGAGCAGTGCTAAGCCAAGGCACAGCATGGGAACCTCTTCCACAGGAGGAGGGAGTAGGAAGTCAGGTTATCTGGGCAGCCTTACAAATAACCAGCTTCTCGCTGTACTGAAGGGAACAAATAGCACAGATGAAGGGTTTGATTTGCACACAGAAGGAATTGGAGTGTTGGTGTGTAAATTCAAACTAAGGTTCTCAGGAGCACAGTGGTTTTATAGCAGGGTTGTCCTGCAGACAGGACTTGGGAATTCTGGTCCCTTTTCATCACCTGGTCAGTCCTGATGGACTCTGATGGCAAGCAGAATGTTTTGCTGGAAGAACCTCAAAACTATCCAAAGCATCTCAAACATTATTGAGCCGGACCTGTGCTGCAGATGACCCTGAGGTGTCCTGCACAAGGGTTGCAGCAAAGGCAGGGTATCTCCAAGGCTGGCTGGGTTTGGTCTCCTGAGATCCCCATTTGGCTCCTTGTCAAGAAGATGCACTCCATTAGTGTGCCTTGCTTTGAAAGCCTCTCTTTGTGCTCATGTTTCCAGAAGATAAAGCACTCCTGAATGCACCAGCTCTGCAGGGAGCTGCTGTGTGCCTGGGCTGTGTCACACCAGCAGATCACTCAGCCCACAGAAGGGGAGCTGCAGGGTGACAAGTGAAGGGCCGTGGGTGTTCTGGGGGCTTTGCTTTTGGTCTAGACCGAGATCTCACATTCTCAGCTGTTCATTTGCATGAACACTGGATGGTGTCGAGCTTGGCAGTCTGAAGGGAGGACTGGAAGGTTCACTGCAGTGACTCACTGTGTAGTAGCACTTTAATTGTAGAAATGGGAAGAATCTGGGGAAAATCAGGAAAAACGCATCAGTGGTTCTGTTGCACGTTTTCCCTTATAGGAGGACATGGGCAGAGGCATTTCTGGGGTGAGCAGGTTGGGCCATGTGTGCCCGTTCCAGGTGGGCTCCCAGAGAGCAGGGGAACGGGGAGTTCAGTCCTCAGGAACAGCTCCTTCCTTACCCAGCTTGGCAAAGTGGCCACCGAGGGCTCCAAACTTCCAACCCGCTCCTGTGCCGAGCCAGAACTGCACGGAGAGTTCTGTGCACACTGATAGGACTTGGGAATTTTCCATGTAGTCAGCAAAGAAGTGAATTAATGGTGGTGTTATTCCTGTACCAGGGCTGCCTCCTGGAGTGATTAGAACACCCTTAGATTAACGCTCCGAGAATCAGCGCAGCAGCACACTTTGGTGTGCTCCAGTTTGTGTAAGGAATAGAAAATATAATAAACTCAGTCATAAATCCTTAAACTTCGTGTTTGTATTTCCTTTCAGTTCTGTGTATGGAAGATATTCCAAGTAGCCACGTTATTCTTTGGTGTTACACAGACATGAAACTTGTAGCTAAAAGAGGATCTTGCAACTGCGTGGAATCTGTTTTTATTTCAATACCTGATGTATCTAAAACTTGATTATAACAAATAATTACAAGTGAATGTTTCTGTAATACTTTTTTTTTACTTCTCTGCGCGTTTTTAGGGAAAATGCTGAATTTTTTCCCCCGAGGAAATACTCAGTGGGGCACTGTGTGGTTGTGCTGAAGGTCACTATAAACGAGCTGGGCTGGTGGACACGTGGATAAAATCTTGTCTTTCTCTTTGTGCCACAGGTCCAAGGAGCTGATAAAGGAAGCAATCCTTGACAATGACTTCATGAAGAATCTGGAACTGTCCCAGATCCAGGAGATTGTGGATTGTATGTACCCCGTGGAGTATGGCAAAGACAGCTGCATCATCAAGGAGGGAGACGTGGGTTCCCTGGTGTACGTCATGGAAGGTAGGGTTGAAATTCCCTTTTATTTCAACACATGCAGGGACAAAAACATTGTTTCATGGGAAAAATAATTTCGAAGGAGAAGGTTGAAGGCGTTGTCTAAATATGGTGGTTGAAAAATTGTGTGGATTACTTCTGCCTGGAAAATTTCTGCCTGGATTTGTGTGCCTCCCTATATAAAGAAAGGAGGTGAAAGCTGTTAACCTTACACTGAGATCCCTCGGAATAAACCTCCACTAAATATAGTTCTTTGGCTTTGAGACAATACTGTATAAATTAGGGACTCAACAGAAGGATTGGTGTTCTGGAAATGGGAAAAGCCTGTTAAAACAAGGAGAATATGGTCACAGCCCACTCCTTGTAGGGCATTGGGAGGGCAGGGCTATGAATGCTGGCAGCTCTCAGCAGCAGCCATGCTTGGGATAATAGGAAATGGTATTTTCCCCTCCTGGGCACAAAATAAGTGTAGCAGCTGCAGTTTAGCACATCTGATTTGTCCCAGTGTGTGTTGTGGCAGAGGTTTGTTTTCCGGGTGGGACACGAGAGCAGTGGATATTCAGGTTTCTGAAAACCTTCCCAGGGGATCAGTGTTGCCAGTGCTGCTCTTCTCCAAAATGTCAGCTCTTTGCATTTGGTATCTTCTTCTCCTTTCCAAGTTTCCTTGCTCTTCACGTGGCAAATTGAGCAGATTTTAAGTATGTTTGGGTTTTTGATTTGTCAGGAAGTGCATGTCTGCTGTAAGAGTTACTAAGCTTGGTCCATCCAGCATCCCTCTTCTCAGAGTGAGTTTTGAGGGAAATGTCCCTGTTGTCATTCAGAGAACACAACCAGCAAATTCCTGGTGGGATTTGGTACCATGCAAATGGACAGATGATTATCAAGTTCTTCTTGCTCCTCTCCAGAACTGTCTGGTAGGCTCAAAAACATTTTGGCCAGGTAACACCTGAGGGGAGTGGAGGTTTCTTGCTTGCCCATATGTACATTAATGCCTGAAATTGTTCTTTGAAACAAAACTATTTCCAGGGCAGTAAGCCATCCTCTAAACAAGGTTTCCTGCCAAATTCTCGAGGCTGTATAGCTGCAACTGCTCTTCACTAGTTTCCCAAAACAACTTTAATCTTCTGTCCTTTTGAAGTTAAGTCCTTTCTCAAGGCACAGGTTTAATTCCTTTGGCTTTTCATAGTTTGAAATTTTGCACGTTCAGGTGGTGTTTCAGTGAAGTGTTGGGGGGGGGGTGTTGCCAAAGTGTTTCTGCTCCCAGCATTACTTGGAAAGATTTACACTTCTCAATCCTTTGTTTGAGTACAGAGACTACTTGGAGGTGCAGAATCTGTCCTGTGGATAATATAAAACTCTGCCTTTAAGTAGCATTTTTTTCCCAGTGAAAACGTGGAGGTTTTTCCCTGCCCAGCTCTGTGCTTGCTTCCCAAAGCCCCCTCACATCAGAAGGTTGCTCGTGGTATTTTTGTTTATCCAAAGCAGCTGGTTTTGGATGTTGTGTTCGATGCTGTCACTTGAAAACCCCCCTGTAACAACAGGGCCTGTCAAAATCAGGGTGTGCTTCTCTCCTGCTCAGCCTCCTCCCGTTCCTTGGAGGGGATTTTTGGGGGGGGATTTATGGGCAGAGCTGTGTCCACCATGGTTTGCGGTATTGAACAGGGCTTAGTACTCAGGTAACTCTATTATTTATCAGATTTGATTACATTTATTATGATTATTTATCAGCTGGCCATCTGATGATGAAGGTACAACAAATGTGTGCTAAAACTTCTGTTGGGCACTGGAGCTTGTTCTGGCAGCCCTGTGGGCGAGGGCACGACTTGGCTCTCCCCCAATCTTTGCTTGGCCTTGTAACTTAATTTAAGGTTATTTAGATAGCTCCCTAAATATGCATAATGCCGTGCAAACAGAATTATGAAGAGTTGATGGCCTATGTTTAGACATAATGCAATGAGTGGTGGTGAAGTCATGGAAATGGAAGACTGCATCGAATGGGCTGGACTGTGGTTCTGAGAAGGGGCTCAGGAGCTCATTTTGCCTTATCATTCTGTGTCATCTCTCAATTACAAACACGCTACACCCAAATATAAACTCTTCTTTACAAACCTCTACCGGACAAACCCATCTTGGGGCGTTACTGAGAGGTATTTCTCAAAAAAAACCCAACAAATAAACGCCGTTTTCCTTCCACTAATTCTTTCCTTTCTTGGCCTTCAGGCCGTGATTAAGACAGATAAAAAATTAGTCCTGGAAGTGATTTGGTGGCCAACACTCTTGTGCTTGTTTGTAATTTATGATTCAGCGTTTAGACGGAGTGTTACCAAAAGTCTGAGCTGTGCACTGGGGCTGTTTGCTGGCCTGATTTTATATGATAATTTAAGTGAGATGGATTTGGGAGCATCCATCACGTTTGCTGTTCATTGCTGGGCTCTCATGTGTCCTGGGGAAGCAGCAGCACTGTAGGGTCTGATTTTCTCCTCTGTAGACATGAGGACCCTGCTGGTCCTGATGAGACCTCTCAGGTGATGATCCTTGAGTGTTCTGCTTCTCCACCTTGAATGTTAAAACCCGTTTGCTGAGCTCAGTGAATCTTAAAACGATGATGAGTGTTGACCTCAGATTCTTTCGTCTTCAGTAGAGCTCGATGAGGCTTTAACCACAGAATGGTTTGGGTTGGAAGGGACCTTAAAACTGCCTAAATGCACCCCCTGCCGTGGGCAGGGACACCTCTTTACATAATTTTGAATCTTTGTGTGTCCCTCAGCAGCCAGCAGGGCTCTGTGTGATCATTAAATAGGAGCACAGAGTGTGTCCTGGGCCTGGGAGACACTTCCCAGGACAGAGATCCCACTGAGGACGTGGAGAGCTGTGGGATTGGGGTGATCCCAAGCAGTGTTTCTGTTCCCCACCAAGGTTTTCCCTGGAGCCCCATGGGAAGGGAGCTGGTTTTAATGGGCTCTGGAGGCAAGAAGCACATGTCTATTTGTCTTGGGTGGCTCTCATGAACTTGGAGAGAAGGATTTGCATGAAATACCAAAGTAGGAACTGGCATTCCTTCAGGTTCTGCTGTGTTTCAAGGTAGGGAACAACTCCCAATCCCCTCATGTTCACTAAGAAACCCCCACAACTTTTGCATATTAACTGAATTGGGTAAAGAGAGGTGGGCAACGCAAAAAAAAAATAACTGACAGCTGTGCACTGAAGGTGGAAATTAATGTATTTGTGATAGCAGGGGAAGCATTAAACATTGATGCTGTGAGCACCTTCAGCAGGAGAGTTCTCCCAGGCTGAGGAGACTGTGAGGGAAAAGGGTAAAATAAACATGTCAGAAATATCCCCTCTGCTGTGAGAAAGTTTGCTGCTCCAAGAGTGGCTCAACAGATTGTTTGTCTTAAAACTGAAGGGTTTTTAGAGCCAAAAAAGGTTCTCACTGGTTAATCATATTCTGCCTCTAAAATGAGTCCACCACCTCCAGGGTTTTGGTTTGTTTTTTTTTTAAGGGGAAAAAAAAAATCCCTAAACACTTTGCAAGTTGTAGTTTTGCAGGTTTGCATCCTGCCTTTGGCCATAACATCTCTAAAATTCCCTGCAAGCCCTTGAAAATGTGCAGAGCTGGCGAGGTGTCTCTCAGGGAGGCACATCTTCGATCTGCGCCGCGGTGACAGGTTGGAGCTGTGTGTGGGTGCTCTCCTCACACTAATGAGGATAAATGTGATATCCCACATCTGAAACCAAATGTTTCCCCCCTGTGCTCCTGCTCTGTCTGAACCTGTCAGCTGCAGCGTGTCACATTTGATGTCTGCATTAGGAGGGGAGAATCTGTCAGCGGGGCTGTGCATAAATCAGGTGACAAGGTACAAGTTTTGGGCTCTCATGTGAGTAACAGTCACACCGTGACAAACAGACACCCTCATTTTTTTTAGAAACTATATTAATAGGTGTTAAGACTCCTCCTTTTATGGTTGTTGCTGTTCCCATAAAGTATGAGAGAAGTAATGCAGCGAGACAGGGGGAAAAGGAAGGTTTAAATCCTGGGATTAACTCCTCTGTCACTCGTGGTTCGGGTGCTGTGACATCCTCCCTACCCGTCCTCGTGCACCTCTGCACCACAGCTCCAGAACCTGAGGGAAGAAAAAGAGCTGTGGGCTCCTGCTTCTCTAGGCAGGGAAAAGGAAGAAGCAGCAGCAGCTTTTCAGGAACCATGCTGAGAAGCAGCCTACACTTCCCCAGCCCTTGTTTTAGTAGTTTTCCTCTCCTCTTAAATTTTGTTTTATTTTCGTCTTCAGCCGTGAGGATTTGCCTTTTGTTTCTAAAAGAGACTTTGTCTCTTGCTGCATTTCTTGGTAGCTTCTCCAGAGGAATGAAGCATTTAACTGTGACTTGCCATGGGAATGTGGGTTTTTGGGAGTCAGAGATGTCTTGGGAAGGAACCTATTCCTAGAAACCGCCGGCTTTGCCAGGACATCAAACTCGGTGTTGATAAGGGAAGACAAACAAAGTCTCTGGAGCTGTTTGAAGTACAGAGAGAAGTGCAGGAGGCTGTATCAGACCTCCCACGTGGTCTCAGAGGGGTGAAATCCTCCTCTAGGAGTCTTTGTGTCATTCCCCCTCTGAGCCCTCGTTTTATAGACTGATCTCATCAGGATCTGATTTAATAGGACTAATTGCTCTTGCAGGGCCTCCCGAGTCAGTCCCTTCTCCTCTCAGGGAAAGGATTAGTAGGGCTGACACTTGCAATGAAAGAGGAATGGAGAACACAGGCCTGGTTTGGGATTTAAGCAGCCTAAATGATCAGAGGGCTGGAGCAGCTCTGCTGGGAGGAAAGGCTGGGAGAGTTGGGATTGTTCAGCCTGGAGAGGAGAAGCTTTGGGGTGACTGGACAGGGGCCTTCCAGGGCCTGAAGGGGCTGACAAGAAACATGGAGAGAGACTATTTCCAAGGTCCTGGAGTGGCAGGACAAGGGGGAATGGCTTCCCACTGCCAGAGGGCAGGGTTAGGTGGGG